GTTGTCTTTCTTAAAGCGGGTGGATACCTGAGTAGCAGCAGCTAAAATCATGTTGTGAAAAGCACATTGTTCATATCTAACTTGCTACGAGCTGCTGTGCTTTCTTGAGGATGTAAGGGAAAAGCCCATGCTGTTCTGCAAGAGGTTAAAATGAGGATGGAGGGAAGGACTGAAAGTCTCTCCAGACCAGAGTGCAGGGGGGAGATGGTAAAGCATGATGTCCGGCCACAGGCACAGGAATCCCTGGGCATAGTTCCATTGTTGGGTTTGAGGTTTAATGTTATTCACTTTCGTTATCTTTTTTTTTTTTTTTTTTTAACAAGTTTCTAGCATCATTATCTCTGAGCTCTCAGTTTGGGCATATTTCTTTTTTATTTCCTAACATATGTGCCACTTCTTGGGACAAGATGCATACTTCTTCAGCCTGAAAAGCCTTCTTGCACACTCCTGGGGACAGTAAGACATTGCAGATGACGTTATATTTTTGTTCTGCTGACAGTGGACATAACCTTCCTTCCCAGGCCAGGTACACATGCCTTGGGCCACTTCTTTTGGCTTTGTTGAGACCAGACACAGTGCAGAACCAGCTCCTGCTACCCCTGTGGGTGGAGATTGCCAACCAGCGATGACTGTCCCTGTGTGTGGGGCTGGGCGGAACGGCTGGGTTGCAGTCACAGAGGGTGCACATGGAGAAGCACTGAGGCAGCATCAGACACAAGTGCTCACTCTGTTCCCAATGAGGCTGTCATTTTTGTGTATGTGCACTGAAAAATTCTTCCAATCACAATCACCTAGTTTTTCAGTGACTCGGAAACAAACAAACAAAACAAAACAGTGGAGGAAAAACAGTGTCTTCCAGAAGCGAAAGAGCCTGTGTCTATAATGTAGCTGTCAGTTTGGGGATGGGAGAGATCTTCAAAATAAGGAAAAATGGGATTGGTGGCTAGGTGACCTGAAATTGCTTGGAAGTTGAAAGAAATTGCAAGAAGCTGCTGTGGTTGTAGGCAGGGTGTTTCTAGAAAATGCAGAGAGAGAGAGGGAAAAAGAGGGAAAGAAAGAGAAAGCGAGAAAGAAGACAGGAGAGGTGATGTGTCTCCCTAAGCAGTTTGCACTTTGCACCATAGGCCACAAGGGCCTTTGAACAATTGCAAACGGAAGGAGTTGTGTTATCCTGGAAAGATCGGGAACATTGGAGGGAGCCGTGAGAATTGACATCCAGATGTTCCATTTATTAGCTATGTGACCTTGAACAAAAAGGTTTTCTCATCTTCAGTTTCTTTATTTGAAAGATAGATATAACAGCAGTGGTAAGAATTAAATAAATTTATACATGTAAAGCACCTCACCCAGAACACAGCACCCAAACACAGGCTAGGTAAGTTAATGTTTGTCCAAAGCAAATACACACAAATGTTGCTTATACCCCTTCAAACAGAAAGTCAGCTGGGTTAGTCAGGGGAAGGGAATGGTTGGCCCATTTGTCTCCCACATGGGTCAGGAAAATGCAGGCCAAGAGATAATACACTGATCCCTCAACAAATTTGAAAGGCATAGAGAATGTTTAAATGTACATAAAGGAAAATACTCTAAACTTACACTGGAAAAGAGAATAGCAGATTTTTAAACTTTCTTTTGTTTCACTGAATTAGATTCTGAACAAAATGTTCTCTGCATGCCTGCCAGCTGGATCATTTGGTCCAGGGAACTCTGTGCCTGATACTTGAATGTTCCCCTCCTCTGGCCCTATAGCTGGCACTTGAAAATGACATGGAAGAGATGTGATCAGTAGTGCCTACCCACAGCAGGTACCGAAATTCCTGTGCTGTAACAGACTTGTTTGTGGATAAAATGTTCTGGTTTTAGTCAAAACTTTTCTAATAAACAGACTGTGCACTGAAAAGAGAGATGCTCAAAAGTCCTAGCCCAATAAATTGATAAAGTGGAAAAACACAGCCAGGGACTTGGAGGAGCTGCCTTGCAGCTTGAGCTCTGCCAGTGTTACTCTGCATGAACCTGCGTGGACTAGGGCACCTCTGACCTTCAGGTTCCTCATCTATAAAATGGCGAAATTGGTTGAGATTGCTAAAGTTCCTTTAAGGTCAAACTGTGTATTATTGTAAATCTTGATTTGCATTTCTGGGCTGAATATCACATCATCACTCTGACTCCCAGGCCTGTTTCTCTTCCAGCTTCTAATCAATCACTAAATCCTGTTTACTATTTCCAGTAAGAATCTGACCTTTGGAATCAAATGGGCTTTGATGCAAATCCCAGCTCAGCATAAGGGAAGTCACTTCTCTGCACTTTAGTTTCCTCATCTAGAAAACGGGTCGACGATAGTGTTTATGTCATAGGATCATGATGGGAATTGAAGTAGGTAGACAGTGCATGTGAAGTGCTTAGCACAATGCTTACTGTTTAAATAAATATTAAAAATCTCCCTTCCAAATAGCTCTGGAATCTAACGCTTCCTTTTTATCCTCATGCCTTAACACTTCTTGCTTGGAGTACTGAAACCGAATTGGTTTCTTTAACTCTAGTCTCACTCTTTGCCCCAGCAAGACAGGTAATCTTTCAAACATGTGACATTACAACAACAATAATACAATTTCTATGTGGGCCCACAGAAATGGAAGACGGAGAGGCTTAGAAAACCAGGGCCTGATTTAACAAATTCCAGTATGTAATTCCTGGGGTCTTGTTTGAAAGTGACAAAAGGAAAGATCTTCTTGAACTTTCCAGGCTGGTTTTCCTCACTGAGACGGAGGTGCGCTGGGGGTTGGGGGCAGTGTTAGGAATCCTTTACAAAGGTCCTCTGTGCATGGCGTTTATGGCTCCCATACTCTTTTCTGAAACCTTCCCAAGACTTGCTTTGATTTCGGGGCAGATTCCTGTTTGTCCGCTGAGCAGAAGTGCAGTTGATTGATCTCTGTGTGGGCACCGGCTTTTGGTCAGACGGGCTTAGGTAAAGGATGAACTTTCTAAATCAAACCAGGCCCTGTACTGACATTTTCAGAGGCAATTTGGAGCCCAACGCAGCTGCTTTGGCACAAGGCTGGGGCTTCACTTCCTTCCGCATGTCTTTCCTGAGACGGGGAAGGGGAACAGGCAGAAAAACATGGATTTAAACTGCAGCATCCGTGATTTAGGTTAGGCATAAGCATTTCCTGCTCTGAGTCCTATGCAGTACAGTAAAATTCACTGGGCTTTGCATTGGGGAGAGATTGGCGTCCATCCTGCTGAAAAATCCACTCTCCCGCCAAAACAAAAGAAAACAAAAATTTAGCTTCATAACTGACCTGCTAACCCTCTGGTTCACTGTGAAAAAAACGTCAGGAGGGCAGAGCCATAGCAGTGCGCAAGGCGTAAAGAGGGTTAGCGCGGCCCGGGAGCTGCTGGCTTCTAAACCCCTTTTCAATTTCAGGGCCATGGTGGCAACAGGGCCCAGGGCTGGGAAGGGTGAGGGGGGCCGTGCAAGCTGACTGGCGTCACGTTACAGGGCCAGAGGGACTAGAGAAAGGGAACATTTGGCTCTCATTACAGAACAAAGGGACAGGGTGCTAGAAAACAGAGCGAATCTGGGTCAGGGGTACCTGAGTCTCCCACAGGTGCTGTCGTCAATTTGCACATCTCCACTCCGGAGGGATCCTCCCCAAACTGTCTCCCCACGTCCCACATTTGCCAACAATAACATTTTACCAGGAACGCGGCTTGTCAAAACCAGCATTATAGCTAGAGCAGTGGCGTGATGAAAATACTGTTTTCTCAGGGGCAAAGCTCATTGCTATTGAGAAGTTAGAGCTGTTAGCACATGATTTTCACTACATCTCCTCCAAATAGCCAAAATCTTTATATAATCTTTAAAAAAAAAAAAACAAAGCTTCTTCTCTAGTAAATTGTTAACTTTCTCTTGCAGGGGGTTGGCAAGGAGGAGGGAAGGCAGAAAATCTGTGATTTTTTATGAAGGATAAATATTATTGATCAGAATTCAAAATCTAACCCTTACATGCTTCCTTAATTTGGACAGGGTTGTACAAAATTTGATTGAGAGAGCACTGCTCGCCCCCACCCCCAGTTTTTTGTTTCTAATCAATTATTTCTTGCTTTCTTCTTTTCCAACTTGCCCTTTTCAAGTGTTATTTTGAAAATCCATATTTTTTTTTTTTTTTTTTGGTGAAGCAGTAACCAATCAAAGTCTTTGGTGGCTCCCCAGACTTCTGATTATTCCTATTTTTCTCTTGTGAAATCATCTCCAGGCCTTTTAGAAGGGAGAGAGATTGGCTCAGATGCCACGTTGCCTGCAGGTCTGCCAACCTACCCCCCGAATCTTGTAACTGTATTTTAAGCCATTAACGACGAAGGCCCGGCAACGCTGGCTGGCGGAGGGTGCGTTTCATCTGAAACAATATAAAAGCGTACAAGGAGAGAAAAGCAGGCCTCAGGTATTTGCAGGGGTCCTGTTATGTGGTGGTTGCGATGAAAATAGGCTTAGTGACTTTAACAGCTGGCAATTTATTAGCAAACCTGGTCCTACTAAAAAAATATGGAAAATCAGAATTGATGTAGAGTGTTAATCGCAAATCCTTTATATTAGCAAGACTTCTGTATTGTGTTAACTTTTACTATTGCAGGGAGCAGACATCCTTTTGGAGCAAAAGGCTGGGCAAATGAACTTCCTTTGTCCAGCACCTCTCCAGAGGGATGCAGGCTGTGTCTGCCTGTGTCGTTCAGCCTAGAGGGAAGATTTCCTTGATGTGACTGGGCAAAGCCAAGTGAAGAGTCTGCGGACCTAACTAGTGTCGCTTTTGAGAATCCTTTATTGAGGCTTAATTTGGAGCTGTCATTTTCAGTCTACATTTATGGTAGTTCTTTCTCTAAGTACATCATCCTAAAACATTGCCTTCCCTCCGGCTGAGCTTTTATACACAGTAATTGAAAACAACACATTTTCTGCTGCCAACTGGAGTCACCGGAGTGATCACTCTCTCTTTCTACTTTAGATTTAACAACGTGGTGGTGGATGAGATGGGAGACATGCTTTAAGTATTCAAAATGAAAAACACCAGAACACAACCGTTATTTTATGAAAGAGGCTGGAAAATGGTTAGTAAAGAAATCACAGATGTGTTTCACAGAAGAGGGGGAGGTGAGAGGAGTACTACATTCTGAAAATAGCATGACAAGCACAATATATTCCTAATTTTGCTCAACGCATTACTTTTGGGGTTTTCTGAACTTTATTTGGGGGGGTTATTTTCACTTCCCACAGTGTCTGTGTGTTTGTGCACGTGCATGTGTGTGTGCATATGTGTGTATTTTTACCCTCTAGGGAAACATAACAATATTTTATAGAATATTGACTATAGTCATTTACCTATAACCACACTAAGTAAAGACAGTTAGATGAAACATGGAGATAACCACCTTCTCAAATTAGATATTATATTTTTGAACAATTGCCCAAGAAAAGAAACACAAAAATGTGAACATATTTTAAATGGTAGACCATTCAAAATGAATCTTATGTTTGGTTAAAAGAAATCTACAATTACAATTGATCGCTTTTAGTCTTAATTTTACTCTACAAAACATGTAAGTTTTTTGAGCACAGAGATCGTGTCTTGTTTTGTGGGGCCATGTTTCAGGTATTCAATATGTCTGACTAATGAATTGAGGATATCAAAGGAGTATGTGTTTTTATAAATGAGATTTGTCTATTGTTCCCTCTGTCTATAAAAAATTATAAAATAATATCTTATACTTTATTTCTTTGGCTAAGCTTTAATGTGTATTTTAATATATATATTGAATGAAGAATCATGATTTCATCTGTGATGTTTTTTAAGTAATGTAATTATGTATCTAAGTGACATAACTCCTTGTAATACTAAAATAGACACATGCCAATATTTATATCTAGTAAGTGTTTGTGGCTGATTGTCATGTATAGCAAGCAATACCTAAGGAGAATTCTGTGCTCTGACAGTTCCAACGGTCCTCAAAGAGAAAGGAGCACGCCACAAGAACAAGTATCTATACTTGCTTTTCATAAAGAGTTTTAAAATATATTTCAAAATAGTACTACGCTTTTGTAAGAATGTCTGTTTTGGTTCATCTCTATTATGGGCATCTTTTTTGTGAGACAATAAAAAAAGGCGAGCTATTCTAATTCTTCATCAATTACAGATATTTAACAGAGCATTAGTTTAACTGCAGTAACTCTGTAGTCATTGGGTATCCATGAGAATTTTGATCTACCTCTTCTACAGAGGAATAATTTGCTTTCATTTTTAATTTACAAATGCATATATAATGCTTACTATATGCCAGGCACTATTTTAAGCACTTTACACATTTGAATGCATTTAATGCTATAAGCCTATTAAGTAGGTACCTGTATTATCATACCCACTTAGGGATAAGAAAGGCACAGAGAAGCTGAGTAAATTTCCCATAGCCAAACAGGTAGATGGAGAGCATCGATGACATGCAATCTGGCACCAGAATCCTTGTCCTACTTTCTCTGAACAGTGTTGTACAATAGAGATGTAATGTGGACCATACATGTAACTTTAAATATCCTAGTAGCCGCACTAAAAAAAAGTACAAAATAAAACTTAATTTAAATAATATCTTACATTTGATGCAACAGTTAAAGTGAAATGTAGTACAAAGTTGACTCTTGAACAACACAGGCTTGAACTGTGTGGGTCCACTTATACCCCAATTTTCTTCTGCCTCTGCCACCCCTGAGACAGCGAGGCCAATGCCTCCTCTTCCTCCTCCTCCTCCTCCTCAGCCTACTCAACATGAAGATGATGAGGATGAAGATCTTCATGATGATCCACTTCCACTTAATGAACAGTAAGCATATTTTCTCTTCCTTATGATTTTCTTAATAACATTTACTATTCTCTAGCTTACTTCATTGTAAGAATACAGTATATAATAATACAATATACAAAATATGTGTTAATAAACTGTTTATGTTATTGGTAAGACTTCCAGTCAACAATAGGCTATTATTAGTTAAGTTTTGAGCACATCAAAAGCTAACACAGGGCATTTCGGCTACTGGGGGTGTCAGTGCCCTTAACCCCCTCATTGTTCAAGGTCAACTAATGTTGGCCAAATTAACATGGTTATGTCTAAGAGAAATATGTTTTATACTGGTTCAGCTTTAACATTTAAATTATTAAAATTAATTAAAATTAAAAAATTTAGTTCCGTGGTTGCACCGGCCACATTTCAAGCAGTCAACAGCTTCTTGTGTCTAATGGCTACCATATTGAATAGCAAAGCTACAGAGAGTAAACTCTTCATAGATGTGTATTCCTTGGAAATAAACCCAGGAAATAAAATTAAGGTGAATTTAACATATGAAATTTTGTTCTCCCTGTTACTCCAGGCACGTTGCCAAGGCAGAAGCAAAAAATAAACATTGACTCTCAATTTCTAACTTACCAGAGGGCTAAACATCATTGGGTCAGCAAGAGAATATTCTCTGATGGGTTTATGTTCTTAAAGTGGCCGTTACCAACAGTGCACAGACTATGCCTGTCCAGGGGAACCCATGTGCCTGTCCAGGGCATTTCCCCTTTGAGAGGGAACACCAACACCACCAATGACAAGTGGAGACAGGGAGGAGAGACTTAGATACCTGTGTGCCCTGCACAGACCAGATGTATACTGACACTTCCACCACTCACATGTTAACAATTTCTTTTTCGAAAATAATTTTTACTAAAAATTATACCATAAACCATATCTTACTATGGTTTTATATTTCCTTTTTAAATATAAACATAACCAATAGCACACAATGTATTTGGAAATTGGGAATATTAAATAAAAAAATGAGTGACTAGGTTGAGAGAGGACAGAGCAAAGACCTTTTAATGTTCCTTTCTTTTGATCACTAAGAATCCAAAAATAAATCAAGAGAAAGTATGTTGCATGGATAAAGAAAATGTGGTCTCTCTCTATATAGGCATGCACTGCGTAATGACATTTCTGCCAAAGAAGGTCCACCTATATGACTGTGGTCCCATAAGATTATAATGGAGTCTAAATATTCCTATCACCCTGTATGTTGTATCCACCGTGCCATTTTAAGATTGTAGTGCGATGCCTTACTCATGTGTTTGTGGCGATGGTGGTGTAAACAGGAACATGCTATAGAGATTTGTAGCCTAGGAGCAATGGGCTATGTAGCCTAGGTATGGAGGGGGCTATACCCTCTAGGTCTGTGTAAGTACATTCTGATGTTCATGTCACAACAAAATCACTTAACAACACATTTCTCAGAATGTATACTTGCTGTTAAGTGAGCCATGACTGTACATATGTATATATAATGGAATATTATTCAGCCTTAAAAAATGGAAATCTTTTCATTTGCAGCAACATGGATGAATGTGGAGGACGTTATACTAAATGAAATAAGCCAACACAGAAAGACAGACACTTGAATGATCTCACTTATGTGTGGCAGCAGAGAGTAGAATGGTGGCTGCCAGGAGCTGAGGGGTGAGGGAAATGAGGAGATGTTGATCAAAGGGATGAAATTTTAGTTATGCAGGATGAATAAGTTCTAGAGATCTAACGTACAGCATGGTAGTTATAGTTAATAATACTGAATTGTGTACTTAAAATTTGCTAAGAGATTTGATCTTAAGTGTTTTCACCACACACAAAAAATCATAACTGTGTGAGGTGATGGATATGTTTATTAGCTTGATTTTAGCAATCATTTCACAATATATGCCTATATCAAATCATCATGTTGTACAGCTTAAATAAATACAATTTCTATTTATCAAGTATGCCTCAAAAAAGATGGAAAAATACAAAAATTTCTACATTAAATGTGGCAAATATGCATGCATTTTGTGTTTATGATTTGAGCCTAAAACAAATTTAATCTTGCTAGAAATATTAAAATCATTTAAACTATGTTTTAATAACAATGGTGGTAAATTTACCACTCGAATAATTCACTACCTAAAGATGAAAATTTTGTTAAATTGTATGAAACAAATATTTTTATAAACTGATGTCAATATTACCAATTATGATTATTCTTCTCAGTTTTTTGGTTGTTGTTACTGAGAGAAAACATATTTGCGATTTTTTACCTTTTCAACTTTTGGTTGAATGGAAGATCCTGTGGGAGATAATGCAGAGACAGAGAGACAGAGAGAGAAAGAGAGAGAGAGAGAGAGAGAGAGAGAGAGAGAAGCACCCTGAGGTCAGTTGACCTGGGTTTTCATTCAGGTTCTGCCACTTAAAAGCAATGTCTCTCAAAGCTTGAATACTTTATTTAATCACTTTGAGTTTCCAGTTTTTTGCTGTAGATTGGGGACAATAATATGCATTTTGTCAGGCTGTTAAAAAGTACAAATGAGAAAATATATGTAAAATGCTTAGTATAATGCTCCACATATATTAGGATGCTAATAAATGTTCATTTCTTTTCAATAGTTACACGTACCTTCCTACCTTCCTTCATATGAATGGATCTTAATTCAGCCAATGTCTCAGAAGTTTTATTAGCAAAAATACTATTAAAAATTGGTTTATGATATTTTCAATCATTAAAATTAATGATGTTTAATTATGTCTTTTTTCCATTAGAAGTTTCTAAATGATACATAAATTAATTACTGCCGTGATCAAACTGATTCAAATGACAAATCATTCAGGGCCTGAATTTTTTTCAATTTTCTAGAGGAAGGGAAAACAGAAAGTGGCCAAAAGAAAGAAAGAAAGAATAAAATCTTAAATAATAGCTAAGTAATCATACTAGTGGTAATTGAATAAAAATTATTCTCTTTTGGATTAAACCCTTCAGAGGGTTTTTCCTTTATATCCTATCATTAATGACAGGAGGCCCCCTGAAGTCATGTCATGGTGCCTGCAGCTGGGCTATTTAAAGGGTGCTGTTTCATTTCCAAACCTCACTGCCTTCTGACGTCTCCAGCACTGTTCACTTGGCACCGTTGGCTACGCTTCAGCAGATAATTTGTACGCTACATAAGCATTTAGAAAAACCCAGAGTTAAACCAGGGATAAGAGTCATCGGTAACATTTATAGTCACTGAACTCCTCACAATGCGTCACAAGTGGGTCAGAGGGTGCATCTTTCAAGAGAAAAAGAACATTCTTTCAGGGCTATTTCTATTTCCACATTGATACGACAATGATTCCTACAGCTAAATTCAGGCTTGACCTCAGCTGT